CAACTGTCGCTGAAGTCAACTCGGAGTTCTGTTCTGACTCCTGCGCACCCTTAATATCTCATCACGCTTGCAATATATTCTAAATTCAAGGGCATTTTTCTTATGTAAATAGCATATTATATGCAATTGCAGCGCTAGTATACACGGTGGCGTATAATTTTTCATGTACATACTTGGCGTCAAGACGCTACCGCGTTTCTAGGTAACACATACAAACCTTATTTTACTTGCAAATTAATGTAGAGCATAAAATAAAAATACATTTGTCTTTTATTATAGTAAGCGTAGAGTCTATAATAAAAAAACTTCAAAATGTAAAAAAATTACGCTAAGTACATGAAAAAGAGGCGGACTCAAGGAGTTATCTTTCAAAAATAGAAGATTCTCATAAAAAACTACAAGAAAGTAGAAAAAGATGTGAAATCGAAATAAGCTGCCAAAACATGAAAGTCTTTTCCAATAAAGTACAATGGTTACACTGTGTAACACAATGTAAAATTCAGTACTTTACAACTATGCGCAGCTAAAATGCTGTGTTCAACAGTGCTGACGTTCAGACTCTAATGACAACTCATGCAAAGTGACTTCAGTTCCCTTTTGTATCACAATCAACCATATAGATCCGCGTAGCCGGTTTCAATTTTATTTTGGCAATAAAAGCATTCTCGACCCCCGCATCGCCAGTGCGTTAACACCGTGCAACAATTAGGTAATTAAATTCATACACTAACCGCGACAACACGACACTGTACAATTGTATTATTACAATTATTCAGTTTTGAATACCGATACCGATCCTACGGTTACCCTTAATTGGGAGATATCAATCTTTACTTTCTTATTCTTTACCTAACCTTCCCAACGGTTATCCTTTACTGGGAGATACCGACCCTTTTTTTCTTTTTACGTGAGGAAATGTATTTACGCACGCCTCCTCATAAGGAGGGGGTAGTGTGGGACTCGCCCCTTGATTTGATATGAAGGGGAATACCCACTAAAACCTCACGGTGGCCGGCCACGGCGTATTGGGGAGGGGTACCGGGATCTCTTACGAACGCTACCAGTGCCCCCCGCGGCTCCCCCCCCCCCCCCCCAACGAAGGGAGAAGTGTCATCTCCGGTGAGGAGTGAATATCTCCCCACCTGACCGCGAGTGCCACAGCCCGCGGTCTCGCCTGTCCCTTTTAGTCGCCTTTTACGACAAGCAGGGATTACTGTGGGCGTATTCTGTTCCCCGAACCACAGGGAAATATGCCGTTATAGGGCCAACGGCCCCCTGCGGCGCAAGCGCCGGGCATGTTCTAAAGGAGTTCCGAGCGTCGGGTGACGACCCCCCCCCCCATGCCCGGCGGCCCTGCTGGCAGTCGGCGAGCCCAAAGCTTGAGCTCGCCAGGTACGTGTGCAGGGCCGCCCTATGCGGCAGACTGCCAGGAGGAGGTGAGGGTTTACGGGCGGCGGGGGGGGGGGGGGGGGGGGACCAGTCCCATCTGCGGCAGGGGCGGCAGCTAGCCGCCGTCGCCTGGCCCGCCTCGATCTCCTCCTCTCTACGCGAGCGGGATCGGTGCGCTACCGATCCCGCTCGTCATCCTCCTTCCGCGAGACAGTAGTCGACAGTGAGAGGTCTCCTCCAATAGCCAGGCGGATTGCCCGCCTCTCTCGCGAGAAGGCCGGGCACTCCTCCAGCAAGTGCCGCGCGGAGTCCAGCTCTGCGCCGCACTGGTGGCACGCGGGCGACCCCTCCGCCCCCACTTTGTGCAGGTACTCACCGAAACAACCATGTCCGGTGAGCACCTGCGTGAGTCGGTAGGTGAGCCGCCCCTGTCGGCGGTCCAGCCAAGCATCGAAGCTCGGCAGGACCGCCGCTACCGTCCTCTTTCGGGCGGCGCCGCTCTCCAGGAGTTGGCGCAGCCACTTTTCGCGGGCCAGCTGCCACCTTTGGAGCCGGTAGGCTTCGACCGCCCCGTCCTGCGGATCGCCCCCGTTCCGGCCTAGATCTTGCAATCAAAGGGGTCGACCCTCGCTAGGACGGCCGCCGCCTCGTGGGAGATCGTGTGATACCCGCGGCACGCGGCGCAGCAGGTGCCGTCCACGAAGGCAGGCCACCAGGTGGGGTCCGGAGGATCTGGGGCGTCCACAGTGGTGGCTCTGACCCACTGTGGATCCGTTCTCTCTATTTGAGGGATGTTCTAGGTCTAAAATCCTCTCTCCCCACCTTCTCGTGGTGGACCCTGAGGGCGCACATAGTTGTGCGTCGCTAACGGGGAGAGGGGTACGAGGCGGGAAGTAGCACCTGTGATGTGTGAGGCGATGCCGGTGGGATCTCCGGATCCTGGCAGGGCCTCCCATGCCGGTAAGGCTCACACTGAGTAGGGGTGAAAACCGCTTCATAGTGACGAGGAGAGGTCGTTCTCGCGCGGTGGCCCACTGGGAGTGCTCACCCTTGTGCGCTGGCTTTGCTTCTGCTCGCTTAAGGGGGGGGGGGGGGCTGATGTGTGCTCGCACTGCCGAGGTAGTAGTGCCGCGCGGGATCGGGAGCCGGCCCCTTCGGGACTTCGACCAAGTAGTGCGCGGTGAGGTGCGGGTGTCGGAGCTCGCACCTGCTACGGGCGGGTGCCCCCCTGTGCGGTATTCCCGGGGGGGTTAAATGCGAAGGACGGGCCCCGGAAAACTGGGGTAGGGGGCATGTCTTTCGTTCGGCATGTCCCCCGAGGGTACACCAGTTCCCGTCCAGCAGCCTGCCCCGCCGCGCACGATGCGCCGGTAAAACAAAAACTATAGACAACTTAATTAAAAACGCAGGAAGCACTGGTGCCGGGTCGGCCGGCAATAGCTGGGGTGACGGCAATGTCACACGGTCACGCACCGTTGTGTTGAAGGGGTTACCATGCGCGGAAGTGATCGAGGAGGGAGGTGTGACGTCGAGGCCCAGTTCAAGGGCTTCGTCGACACGCGGGCTGGAGGCTGCAGGCCCATCTGCAGCAAGCTCGGGAGGTCGCCGGACCGGAGTTGGCCTTGCTGCTCACGATCCGGGAGCGGGGCCACGGCTGGGAGTGAACAAGGACGATGGCGTCTCTATGACGTCAATGTCCTCGGCCTCGTGCGCTCGGGCTAAACGACGCGCTGGTGCTGACCGGTTGGTGTCGGCGCCTGTAACCCGGGAGGCCGCCAAAAAAGCCCGGGTCAGGGATGCCTCCTCCCCTGTAGGCGTCGGCGCACCGACTGCAGCCCTTCGGGACAGGATGCAGTCGGATGGCCAGACGCTCAGGGAAAAGAACGCCAGCCTCCGGCGAGAGGTCGAGGGCCTCCGAGAGACCCTCGACGCTGTGCGTGGGGAGATGATGGTCCTCAAGAGGAGGCTTGATGCTACCCTAGCAGGGCCGTCGTCTCCACCTGCCCGGGTTGGTCTAGCGGTAGCCACGGAGCCGTACCAAGTCCCCGACCATCCACACTGGTTCGGGGACGAGGACGGCCTCGTGGCGATGTAGTACCGTCGCCGTTCGGCGACTGTTCCCCCCTGCACCGTGGTCGAACGGAGCAGGGGGGTGGTTTTGCTAAAATGGGGAAGGTTCCTAGTCGCAGGATACTACAATTCCCCCAATTGTAGTGCTGCCGAACTCGGGAGGTTTTTGGACCGGCTGGGGGCTATGTTAGCTCCCTATATAGCCGACCCAGTGCTGGTTCTCGGGGACCTCAATGCGAGGTCCACCGCGTGGGGTAACCCGAGGACCGGCTCCCGAGGCGGAGCGCTGCAGGATTGGGCGGATGGGATGGAGCTCTGGTTATAAAACCGAGGCTCCGTACCAACGTGCGTGATTATGGAACGGCTGGTCCATCGTGGCCGTATCGTTTGCGTCAGCCACCGCCTCACGCTGGGTGTCTAACTGGCGGGTCTGGGAGGGTGAAACGTTGTCGGACCACAGCTACGTCCTTATGGACGCGGCTGTGGTCTCGGACTCGCCAGCGGACGCCACCCTCCGACGTAGCATTCCTTCAGCGCCAAGATGGGCGCTAAAGCGACTAGACGAGGATCTACTGAGGACCGTGATTACCGGCTCCGCCTGGCCTCCGGCCAGGGAGCGCGGGGCAGAAGAGGGGGCTTTGTGGATCCGGGACACGTTGCAAATGATTTGCGACGTAGCTATGCCCCGGATCCGCGAGCAGCCCCCGAGGAAGTCTGCGTACTGGTGGACGGGCGAGGTTGCCGACTTTAAAAGAACGGCCAGCTGCGCCCGTCGCCCGTCGCACACCCGTGCTCAGCGCCGCCACTTCTGACCCGGAGTGGAGAGTCGCCGAACTGTACGGGGTGTACAGGTCGGCGGCGGTGGCCCTCAAGCGCGCGATAGCCGCAGCCAAGGCCAGAGCGTGGGACGAGCTCCTGCTCACCCTCCGTGACGATCCGTGGGGGCGCCCATACAGGGTGGTGCTGGGGAAGCTCCGCCCTTGGGCGTCCCCTGTCACGGAGAGGTTAGACCCGGAATTCCTGGGGTGCGTGATTGATACTCTCCTTCCCCTCAACGATGGTGGAGAGGGTGCGTTGGAATGCGCCCCGAGTCCGACTATTGAATGGTCGGATCATTCCGGGTCACGGACTCTGAGCTGTCCCGGGCTATCGGGGGGCTCCGGGCTAGGGGCAAGAAAGCTCCCGGCCCGGATGGAGTACCCGGTAGCCTGCTGGCTCTGACCTTGGGAGTCCTTGGCCCGGCGTACAGGAGCGTCTTGGACGCTAACTTGCGCCGGGGAACCTTTCCCAGTGTGTGGAATAAAGCGTGCCTGGTTCTCCTCCAGAAAGGGGGAAAACCCGCAGAGTCTCCCTCTGCGTACCGGCCGGTGTGTCCGCTTGATGAAACGGGCAAGCTTTTTGATCGAATTATAGCTGCCCGCCTCCTCGAGCACCTGTCGCGCGGTGGTCCCGACCTCAGCGACAGTCAGTACGGATTTCGGAGGGGTCGCTCAACGATGGACGCGTTGAAGCGTTTGCGCCTCCTCCGGGAAAGGGCTGTCACTCGGGGCCGGGTGTTGATTGCTGTGTCGTTGGACATATCCAACGCCTTCAACACCCTGCCCTGGAGGGAGATAGCGGTGGCGCTGGATTATTTCCAGGTGCCCCCCTATCTCCTGGAGGTGGTTTGGGACTATCTCCGTGGCAGGGAGGTAGTATTTACCGGCCGGTACCAGGTTGTGCACACGAGGGAGACGCACCACGGGGTTCCGCAGGGGTCGGTCCTCAGACCGCTTCTGTGGAACCTTGCGTATGACGCGGTGCTGCGGGTTCGCCTTCCTACGGGCGCGGGTGTCATCTGCTATGCGGATGACACCCTGTTACATGCCGAAGGGGAAGACTGGGGGAGGACCAGGCACCTTGCTGAGTCCGCCCTAGACTGCGTTGTCAGGCGAATCCGGAGGATGGGTCTGACCGTGGCTGCTGCGAAGACCGAGGCAATCTGGCTTTACGGATTCGCGTCGTGGATACCTTCGTCGACATCAGGCCCACCATGAAGTACCTGGGCCTGATCGTCGACGGCCGCTGGCGCTTCAAGGAACACTTTGACCTCCTAACCCCCAGAATGGAGGGGACAGCGGCCGCGTTAGCGCGGTTGCTGCTCAATATCGGAGGGCCAGAGTTAAGGGTTCGCCGCTTATATGCGGAGGTGGTGCGGTCGATAGTCCTTAACGGGGCCCCCGTGTGGCATCGCTCGCTCGAGGGCAGCCGGCGCAACCAGGCACTCTTCGAAAGAGTGCGGCGACGGCTCGCCCTGCGGGCCATACGGGGGGTGGGGTGGGGAGGGTCGAGGCGTGCCGGATCACGCCTCCGATCACCCTCCCTTACCGGTGTCGGCGTCTTCTTATCCTAGCGTTCAGGAAGCTCTTTGTTTCCTGAACCAGTACGGACCCGAAGATGCCGGGGCAGTGGGTGGACCGAGCGGGGGCTCGGGAAGCCCATTCCGACGGCCTCAGGGATGGGGACACCGGGCGGGCCCCTTCGCCTAGGGTCTTAAAAAGTAGGTAGTGTGGGAAGCTAACACCCTCCGCCCGGGATACATGTAAGCTGGGAAGCGTCCTGCGATCCTCCCAGATGGTAGCCCCACATAACCTCGGTTTTTCCCCCCGGGAAACCGAGGTATGCGTAACGCATTTCCCCACAATAAAAAAAAAGAGAGAAAAAGCCACCAGATCGCGCGCCCATACAAGTGACCCGTATAGGGCCATGGATCGCACGACCCCCAGGTAGAGGCGGCGGACCCTCTCTTCCGGCCCCCCGAGATTGGGCAGGAGACGACCCAACAGGGTCACCGCCTCAATTCGGGGGACCAGGCGGTCGAAATGCCCCTCCCAGCGCCACCGGTTGTCCAGGTCGAGGCCCAGATACTTCATCCGGCCTCCGACCCGGACAGCCGCATTACCCACGCGGATCCAGGTCTGGGGGACCCGCCGCGTCAGAGGTAGCTCATGAAACATGACTTCGTCCGTCTTTTGCGGCGAGATCCGAAGCCCTAGAGCCTGGATCTGCGTAGCAGACCACAAAGACACCGGGTGGGAGGAGCCCGCACAACACCGAGTCGTACCCCAAGTTCCATAACAGGGGTCCTAAAACGGACCCCTGGGGCACGCCTCGGCTGACCCTCCGACGTATCGGCACCCTGCCTCTGCCAGGGTACTCGATCCACCTGTCCGACAGGTAGTCGGCTAACACGACCCGTAGATATGAAGGCACTTCGTGTTCTCGGAGCGCCTCCCGGATCGTGCCCCAGGGCAGGGTGTTAAATGCGTTGGCGATGTCGAGACTAATCGCCAACGCCACCCCACTCCGGGAGACCGCACGGTCCGCGAGGGCATGGACGTGGTCGATCGCATCAAGCGTCGACCGGCCCTTGCGGAAACCGTATTGGCAGCCAGCCAACTGCATACTCCCGTCGGACAGGCCCCTCGACAGGCGGGCAGCGAGCACCCGCTCAAAGAGCTTGCCCGCCTCGTCGAGGAGGCAGATCGGCCGATACGCGGAGGGCGAATCCGCGGGCTTTCCCTTTTTCGGGATAAGGACCATCCGGGCCTGCTTCCAGGCCAGCGGAACCCGCCCCGACTCTAGGCAGCCGTCGAACAGCCGCCTGAGCCGGGGACCCAGGACGCGCAGCGCCAAAGCGAGCGCCCGCCCATGGATGCCGTCGGGCCTTGGTGCCGTAATCCTGGCCACCATTCGCCCGACGGCCATCCCGAGCTCCCCCTCGGTGACCCCCAGGCCGGCGGACCAGTTACTGACCTCCGCCGGCAGGAGCGGCCGCGGACCCTCCTCCGGATCTACCGAAAAGAGGGTATCCACGACACGCTCCAGAACGGGGGGGTCGAGGGACTCCGTGACAAGGGGGGCGGCTTGGCGCATGCGGCCTAGCCCAATGCGGTAGGGCCGTCCCCATGGATCCTTGTCCAGAGTCCCGAGAAGCTCTCCCCAGGGGTTCGCTTTAGCCTTCCTGATGGCGCGCTGGAGGTCCTCCGTGGCCTCTCGGTAGACCTCATACAGCGCCGCCTCCCTCGCTGGGTCGCGGTTCCGCCTCCGGTGGGCTCTCGTGAAGCGACGTCGCGCCGCGCTGCATGTAGCACGCAGCGCGGCATTCTCGTCGCTCCACCAGTAAGCGGCCCGCCTCGAGAGCTTCCTGGCTCGGGGCATGGCGGCGTCGCACGCCGCCGTCAATGACTCCCGAAACCAGTGAGCTTCCCAAACGACTTTCGCGACCGGTCCAACCGGGGCATCCGGCCAGGACGCGTTGAGGGCGGCCGCCATTAGGGCGTCCTTCTTCAAGCGCTTCAGCGCCCATCAGCGCGGCGGTCGGCCCGGCGCGGGTCCGCGAGCGGGATGGTACTGAGGGGCATCGGAGACATCCATAAGAATGTAGAGGTGGTCACTGAGGGACTCCACCTCCTCCGCTACCCTCCATCCCGACACGAGTGGCGCGACGGCAGGCGTCGCCCACGACAAGTCGACGATCGACTCGCCCTGCCACCGCACGCACGTGCTCACGGACGTCCGGTTAAGTAACCGGAGGCCCGCGCTCGCCGCCCACTTCAGCACCGCCCGACCCTTCGCGTCCGTTGCTGGGCAACCCCACGCCGTGGACTTGGCGTTGAAGTTGCCCAGCACGAGCGTTCGGGCTACTGGAGAGCGGGACAATGCGTCCCGGACCCCGTTCAGCAGCCACTCGAACGCCGCGAAGCGGGCACTCGGAGGGACGTAGACCCCGATCAGGGCCAGGCCGCTGCACTCCACCCCGACGAACCCGACGCCGCGGGCGAACACGCGGAGTGCCGCGGTGTCGCCGTCCATTATCACCACGGAACCCAACGCGTCGGCCACCCATTTCGGGCGGTCGGCGACGCGGTATGGCTCCGCGGCGACCACCAACCCCACACCTAACTCTGCCAGGTAGTGGACAAATAAGTCCTGCGCCCTGGTCGAGTGGTTGAGGTTGGCTTGGAGGATCCGGACCGGGGGCATGAACATTAGGCCATGTCCATAGCCTCTCCCGGGCCGGATCCTCCCTCCATCGCAGCGGGCGATCTCGCCCGCAGCGCCTCAGCCGGCGCCAGCACCGGCGCATCTGACGCCGGTCGATTGACCGGCGTAGATTCGCCCGAACTCGGGGTCGTCACGCGCGCCTTCCTCCCCTGCTTTGGCGGTGGAGGGGCACATTTTTTGGCCCCGAGCCGGTGGTCGGCTGGCCTGCCCAGGTCAGCACAGACCGGGCAGCGCAGGGGCGCCGTACACTCTCGTGCCCGGTGGCCCGCACCGGCGCACCTGTAGCACCGGTCCCCGCGGTCCGCCTCAAGGGGAAATTTCTGCCGCACGTGCCCGAACTCCAGGCACCTGAAGCATCAGAGGGCTCGCGCGGGCAAGGCCTTCACTCGGGCGGACGACCAGCCGACGAGCAGGCGGCCAGCCGCCAAGAGGGCCCTTCGACCATGCCTCAGGTGCCCGGCGGGTCAGGGAGGGCGCGACAGGCGCGGGCGGAGGCCTCGCCCGGGACGCAGCCGGGGCAGGGTGGGCAGCGGCGCTACCCGCTTGCTTCTTCCCGCTTCTTTTCCTGCCTCTCTTCTTTTTCGCGGGCTTCCCGCTGACTGTCCCGAGGCGGGTCCCCACCGCCGAGGGGCCAGATTGGGAGGGACCTGCAGGAGGGCGCGGCGCGGCCCGCAGCACCCGCTGCGGAACTCCGCTCGCGGCGGCCACCAGCGAGACCGCCCCTAGGCGCGCTGCGAGGCGCACCTCCATCTCGCCACAGAAGCGACGGATGAGGCCCTCGACGTCCACGCCCGACGCGAGGGTCGTGATGCCCATCGCAGGCTTCCACGGCGCCCCGGCGGGCGCAGGCCTCGAGGCAGCAGGCCGACTCGACCTCGCCTTCGAGGACGCACTCGGCCGCGAAGGGGGCACCGGCACCGACGGCACCGCGGCAGGCGCGACCGGGCCCCGCGCAAGCCGGGCTTCCAGCTCGGTCACGCGGGCCCTGAGCTCGGCGACTGTCTGCTTCAGCTCCACCTCCCGGGCCGAGGTCTTGACACGCTTCGCCTGTTCGACGGCAGCGTGTCTGATGGTGGCCGCTGCAATCTGCAGCTGGCGCACCATCGGCCCCTGAAAGTTGTCGGAGCATTTCGCAACCCTCAGGACCGCCTCCGAGCTCTCAAAAATCCGAGAGCCCAGTTCGGCGGTCGGCGCGTGGCGCATCTCCGCCGCCAGCTCCTCTTCGCCCTTGAGGGGCTTGCAGGGCCTGGAGATCCGGACGGAGGACACTAAATGGTCCCCGACGTCCATCGCCAGGCGCTGCTTCCTCTCGCTGGGCTTTCGCTTAGCGTCGGCGAGGCCGACACAATCCCCAGCAGTAGGGGGTCGACTGCAGGGAACGCGCCGACCACACCGAGCTGACTGACCCGTCGGAGTCAGCGCCGGTGTCGGACGCATTTGCAGCCGCCAGGAGGCGGCCGGAGCGGAGCTCTCGCCCCTCCACTCTCTCCAACCGGACGACGGGCTGCGCGACCCTCCCGGTCCTCCCGCACCCTGACGCCGGAAGACGCCGCAGCGGAGGAGGTCCCCGCTACAGACGTCTCTTCACCAGGCGCATTGCTGAACCCGGGGGCCTGGTGGTCCATCCCGGGGTTCTCCCAGTCGTAAGATAACGACGCGGGGGAGCCTGGTCGACTACTCCTCACCGCGCCGGTACTGAGGGATCCGACGCCCTCTGCATCGTAAACGCTTAATCCTCGGTTGTCCATGGTCATTGTCAAAGCACCCCATTGCGGGTGAGCGCCGTACCCATGCCTCCAAACTTGCCATGTCGTCAACATAGGATCCGCCAGATGCCAGCTCACCGCGTTCGCCCTCCGCATCCAGCAAATCGGGACTCGCAAGCGAGCGCCGACTCCTGAAGCGGAGACCCAGGAGCATCACGAGGAGGTGCGGTGAGTGAACTTGACCGGACGCAGCCCGCCGACTTCGCCGAAATTCCCCGCCCAGGAGGACGCCGAAGCGCCACCCTGATGTAAGGGAATCAGCTAGGTCGTGGTTTTTTACCCGTCCTGGAGGTCTAAATAGTAGATAAGATATGTCAGTTCTGGAACAGTGGGATCTCAGGGGGGCGCGGAGACGGGAGAAGCGAGGGCCGGGGCTTTGTGGGTGGGGCGGGGGCGAGGGGCAGGGCCTTGTGGGTGGGGAAGTGAGGGGTGGGGCCTCGTGGGTGCGGGAGTGTGACGTCACTTTTAATTGAATACCTTTTCGAGGCGCCATGTAATTGGGTGCTCCTCTTTTTTTTTTTTAATTGGCTGCCTCCCACCTCTGCGTGTTTTTTAATTAGTTAATAAGGCCCCACCTCCGCCCACTTTCGATTGAATACCTTTTTGAGGCGCCATTTAATCGGCTGCCTACACCCCTTTAAAGTTCGCTAATGGATCTATTTCAAAGACACCTGCAAAGATTCGCGAAGTTTCGCGAGTCGAGGACAAATTTAAAAACTGCAAGCTAAACGTTCTGTGATACCAGCATCTGCCGCCAGTGATTCGCGCTTATAAAGAAAGAAATAATATTCAATTATAGGTGTATCAAAAATTAAACGTGTCATCTCTCTCTCATAGAGAAGGAGTAGTAGGGTACCCTTCGCGTAGGGTACGTAACCATCCGTCCATCTGATTCCATGGTGTTTTTCCGTTAACCACCAAACACCACGTTTTTCGTTAGACGTTAGATCATGCAATCCAAATGGAGGTTCAAATATCTAATGCGATAACTTTTTTCCTTGCGTGAGGACAGCCACCTCTTTTACGATAAAATCATTCAAGTCCGTCTTGAAACCTTGCAAGTCTAGGAACGTTAGGTGAGCCATTTTGCTGTATCGACAGTTTCGAAGAGACTGAACATTCAGCAGAGATTTTTACTGTATTAGTTTATTCTACGTACTACAGTAAGCAGTTGTATTGAACGGCACGTTATCTTTGCATTCGAAATCTATCCTAACATCAGTCGTGGCACTCGTTGAAGATTCGTTCTGACGCGAGCAATCTATGACTACAAACGGACCACATAATAAAAACTCTAACATATCGAGCAGGGGTTCACCGTGTTCGTAATATGATTTTCGAAAGTTTGCGTACATATCGTAAAGTGTCGCATACTTGTTCTTATCAAAATCCAGATTCAAGTCATCGTATGGATAAGATTTTGAATTTAAATGTAGTCGTATGTTCGATAGTTTACAATTGTCAAAATGATTAAATGTTTTGTCCAATTTGTTCTTTCGATCGGTTTGCATAGCGAATATCACATATCGCGGTTTCCCAATTGTGTTGCAGATTTCACAGACCAAGTATGCTTCGTGGTTGTTTGTAATAACGGATATTCATATAGATCCCAGGAGCGGAAACTCATCAAAATCAGTCGACTACTTTCAAGAATAGGTAAGAGCGCCAATTTGTTCAATTCGTCCAAACCGACGTGAGACATTCGCTATTGAACTTTAAACAATTTGAGTACAGGTTTCAAAACGGTAGGACCAATCAGGGCGTTTTCATCGTTTCGCGATCGAATTAAAATCAATTCATGGCGCGCATTGATTACGATGCGTTTATAATCTTCACAGAATTCGAATAACAAACCAAGCGGCACGCAAAAATAAAATCTGCAATTGCAGCCTTTTGCTTATGCTATCAGCCAGCATTACCTAACGTTTTACTTTTTTAACCGACTTCGAAAAGGAGGAGGTTACTCAATTCGACATGTATATATATATATATATTTTTTTTTTTTTTTAATGTCTCTTCACCGATTACGCCGAGATGACTTGACCAATCGGAATGAATCCTGTTGCATCTTGTAGAGCATGTTCCCCCGGTGATCTTGCTATCAAGACTTTTTGCGATTTGTCATTTTTTACCCGTCTTTTTACCAAAAAACCGTGATTTTTAGATATGCTTGCCGATTACGTCAAAATGGCTTGATTAATCGGAGTGAAACCTCTTGCATCTTGTCGAATATTTCTTCCAGTTGGTCGCGTAAAAGAAACATTTTGTGAGTTGTCATTTTTTAGCCGTTTTTTTTTTAAAACAGAAAAATTTTGTCTTGCTTCTTACTCCGAGACGGATGGACCAATCAGATTGAAACTTCTTGCATCTAGAAGAGCATTTGCCATTTGGTCCCGTAACAAAACATTTGTCCTTAGTTTGGTTTTTACCACTTGATATCACTTTTTATCGCAAAGAGCGTACTATTTCACGTATGTTTGGCCTGAAATCGATGAAATCCCTTACATTTTGCTGCCGTACAGGTTTTCGCGATGATCACATTTCCAAAAATTTATGAATTTTTTAATTGTTTATAACTATTGCTATTGAAAAATTCCTTTTCTTTGCTGAAACTCGGCACGGAATTAACCGACCGAGATGGAATTTTCCGCATTCCATAATAGATGAATTCGTGATGTTCCCATTTGCAAAAATGTATGGACATTTCCATTGTTTGAAACCATTGTTGGTGCAAAATTGCTATGCTCTGGTGTAGCTCAATAAGGAATTTACCAAACGCAATCAATCCTTTCACATGTATTCCTGATAATCCTATATGCAACAATACAGGGTGTCCAAAAAATGTTGGATGTTCTTGAATGGGGTGTTTGGGGGGGGGGGGGGGGATTTGAAACAATTTTTCCTTAGCCAGAACGGTGTTCGAGGCTTCGTTAAGGAGATGTTGACAGAAAGCGTACGCTACCGCAGGCGCTCCACCGGCATACTCGCGCTCTGATTGGTCAGGGGTTTTTGTTTCTGGAATATCTCCTTAACGAAGCCTTGAACACCATTCTTGCTGACGAAAAATTGTTTCAAATCGCCCCGCCCCCCGGAACCACCCTTTTCAAGGACCTCCAACGTTTTTGGGTCATCCTGTATAGTGCTCATAACTATTGTTATTGCATGAAATCTATTGGCTATAGATTGCCACTAAAAAGAGTGAAATAAAATAATTTTTTG